CTACAGGGTTCGGGGTTGTTGATGTCGTCGCAGTCCATGGTACAAGCGCGACGAACTCGTCTAAAGCGTGCCTTGACAGAAGTTACCAGTGATACGGTTACCTATGTGAAAACGGTGGGCAGCAAGCTATCGTATATCTATTCTATACCCGCTAGTGTTACACCTGTGTTGTCCAAAGTCACGGTTTATTTATTTAATTTCACTTAGAAGTATTTTAGGAATGTAAATTACAGAAGCACCTTAGATGTAGATTTGAAACACAATGCCTGACTGCATGAAGGTCGCCCCCAAACTTTGGGAGCATCAGATTTCTCAAATTAGTTCCGAAATACCTACCTGCTATAGTCCTTCAAAAGGCACGGAGAAGGAACCTTATTTAGTATTGATTGGTCATTTTGTACATAGGAATTTTATCCCCTATTAGACAGCAATAATATTCTCAACTCAGCTTTAAGGCGTAATGTGTTGTAAAACCGGAAGATGGTGGCTTACGTTTTGTGGTATGTATAACTGCGTATGGTTTATGGATATCTTATAATTCTGTACTATTTTATGAGCTCATTTTCATTTGGTGTGTTAATCACGTTAATGAGTAATGATCGAACTTTTTCAGATGACGCTCCCAAATCAAATTACTACAATTTTTATGTTTACGTTTACATTGTGCTAATTGTTGGTACCAATTTGAAACTGTATGCTAATGTTCCACTGTTAGAGCATTAATACTATTAACAGCCTCATCTGTCAATTTTTTTCAACTTTTCTTAATTTCAGATTTTGGTAGCACTATGCATTTCGAGCAATAAAATTGAATTATTTGTGTAACATTTGGTACTTTTCCTCCAATGCAGTTGCACGTCCTCGACAAGTTCAAAGGGACCTTTTTTAAACGTTAAACTGAGCTTGTTATTTCAGTGACTTTTTCATCTACTGTCATTTTTCTTCACGATAAAAGAACTTTCTTTAAAGAAAGAATGGAAAGTTCATCCAAATCTTACATACTTGGTTGAGTGAATAAATCGGTACTTTGAGGCATGATGATCTCGAATACTTGATGACAACTTTCTTTTTTCAAAATAGGTACTCATTGAACACTTTTTTATGATCATATGGAAATTATATCATATGCGTAACATAACGCAACTTAAACAGTAAAATGAAGGGTTCCATATTATCAATTTCCACAATTTTTTTTCATAAAAGGTTTTGGGTACCGCAAAGGGTATCCGCAACTGTTTTATTACAGTTATAATTAAAAATTATACAGCACACTTTTTAATTCAAATTTGTTGATTAGCTAATTAAAATTCTTTAAATTTCGAGGGGTGAGCTTTTGAATTTTTTTGTATCGTTTATTTTGTTTGTGTTGGAGTTTCTGGTATTACAATAATCTTTTTTACCCGCATAGGGACGAGAAAGAATAACCACATCACAAGATTACTGTGTAGTGTGTACCGTAAAAGGCGACTAATCACCAGCGGATGTGTCGCATCTATGTGAGCCCGTGAGTAAGCTCAGTGATATAGTTTTAATGGTAACGTGCCGTCACAATCACCACTATGCAACATCGCTTTCAAATGCAAGCGCTAAATTTGCCAGAACTAGCCCAAACTAACACCATGATTTTTAAACCACTCTGTGAGGTGGGGTGCAATTTTCTGTAGCACCGCCATTTTCGAATTTAAAGTAAATTATTTGTACTCTTTTGACCTAGCATCATTTAACGACACTTTAGTTTTTCAAGCATCATTTTACATTTTGTTATAAAACTATTGATTTTCGAGGGCTGAAATTTAGGTTTGTTAACTTTCTAAGAATGCTCACCATTCCATGCAAGTAAATCTTAGTTGCCGCACTACAAAAATTCCAGTTCGTAGCGAAACTTTAAAATGGCGATCCCCTGCAGAATATTTTTCTAGCTTTCCATAAATATTCATTCTTCAGTGATCTAAAAGAAGTCGACATATTAATTTAAGAGACAAGAGTCTGCTATATTTTTTCTCGACTGTACCTTTTGACACATACACGAGTTTTGTATGCCTTTAGTTTCAGAGTACCTAACAATATTCGTATGGAAAGTTCTCATGCAACGTAACCCCCTCCCCGCCGCCATATTTCACTTGGAACCACTTGGAACTGATGGTATAGTTTTGCGGTTATCATACCGATTCGTATTTTTCTTTTTTCCAATGTATTTGTATCGACATAAAGCCAATGCTGTAGAACTGAGCTTCTTATTTGCATGCGCCCATGCACAAATATTTTGTCCACCTTTTGTGTGGAAAATGTTTATATTCCTAACCGCCTCATATTTGTTAATGTGTTAAATTTGTATGCCACAGTTATATTTCTTTGAAACGAAAGGTGCACAAAACTCTGTGCAATACAAGTATAGAATATTATATAGTATTAATACCTGGCGTTGGTTTCTTCAACGCAAAATCTTGACTTACTAAAAAGCACGGATTTATCAAAGTAGTTTTTATCAGACCTCAAGCAAGCGGCATTTTGGTTGGTAGCAGTAATTAGCACAAAATGATCAGACATTTCCAGTTCACATATACCGACTCTTAGTATATCGTATACTAATTCATTATTTGTGGATTTTGAGAATTCATATGGTGTAAAACCGAGTCATTTGAAGTATTTCAGTATGTACGCATTATTTTTATATGAATAGTAAAATACGGTTGGTCCTTTTGCGAAGAATTATTTAACCGTAGACAGTCTCTTTACACATGGTAGCCTACTCATATGGGATAAGCAGTTTTAATCAGGGCGTGAGTAGGTCTGTTCCTACATCATTTGTCCTCCCTTCGCCTATTGGGTCATTTCTCTTTCAATTAGATATTGTGTGCTGTAATACCAGCTTACTATTACATTTTTTTTCGGAATATGATTTCTGCAACATTATTTATTGCCGTTGAACCCATTGTCGCCCTTTTATTTCTAATACTAAATGTTTAAACTTGAAACTATGGCGACTTACGACAGTCGTCCTGATTGTAGGATCCTTCCATCATCCAAAAGCTGGAAGAAGCAAAGTAATGTAATGAATCCCAATACTTGACCATGTAACATGAGAGATGTCTTTAGTTTCAGATACTTTTAACCAACTCAGTTGAGACCGCGGTTACATATACATAATATCGGTAGATGGTTTCCGCATATCTAATAGATGTGGTATTCATTTTCCTTATTCATAGTTTGCAAAAGAAAAAGTATAATGAATAATGATGGATGATGTGATTGTCCCTCTTTTCACAATCTGCCGATACACTCTGCATAAATTTCCATATTGTGTTTTTCAGCAGTGAATCGAATTTCAGAGATTTTTTCAATTTGTTTCTGTAATTTACAATATTGCTCTTACGATTTACGATTGAAATTAAATAATTAAACCTAAATATCGCTAATTATACCACTTTAAGGTTATGTTTTCAATGTGAACGTGAACATCCTGTTCAAATAACGGTTCATTATCGGAGTCTGAAGAGTAGCAGTTGAAAATACACTTAAATGTTGCGAAATCACAACCTTAAAGCATTTTGTAGAGGCACCGAGCACATTCGCATGCAAATATTTTAATTTACATATTTTTCCAAGTGATATTGTCATTGTAACAGAATTTATTGGTACATACATCAATATTCCACCGCGATTTGAAATTGCAAATGTATTTGTTTTAATGGTAGATGGATTTCCATAACTGAACGTGGACGGAGAACTGACAAATTCAGTTTTGAGCATCAAATTATGCCTACAACAGAATAGACTGTGAAATGTTGACAGAAAAGCTTCATTACTAATGTCGGTATCTTCACCCGATATTAATTCGAGTAGGGGAGTATTTCTGGTGAAGAAGCAGGCGTTAGTAGTAGTTTGTAGCACTTAAACATATTTCTCCACAGTTTGCTATTTATTTTCTAGATATTGCCGGGAGAAGGACAATTTTTTAAGGTAAGAGTATGGATCGTTATAATGTAATTTTAAACAAAGGTGACCTAATTAGCAATAGTCTTACATGCATAATTAAAAACATACAATTACAGGCTTCTAGTCAAATTATTGCATATCTTATGAAGTGAAAACATTTGGATTGAATTTATATACAACTGTCAAAATTAAATTGAATCGAACACCCTTTTCTTCCAGAACGTAAGCTTCAAGCAAAAATATACTAACTACCTACGCGTTAGGTTTTTTAATTAATTTTGGAAACGGCGAAAAAGTATGTACGTGTAACATTTATAATTATTAATTAAAAGTGTCAATTTTTGCAGCATGTACCTGGTACCTATTCATTTTCGTATACGTATAGTACACAGGTATGTTATAAAAATGGAAATCTCTCATTATTCATCTAGTTCATAATTTTCTGCTGCTTTGTGCAGATCTTTTGCTGTTACAGATTTTCCGTTATCTGACTTTTAAATTTAAAAAGTCTATAAAATCTATAATTATCGTACAGAGGTGATCGAGATAACTAAAGACTGTTTCTGCGTCATGATGTACAGCTATAAATAACTCGTTAACCATCTTAAATGTTAAGGGACAATACAATTTTCCTACGACCTGTATAAAACGAATGCAGTTTAGTTTGATGGTGGTCTTGGTCTAATCATCATCGACATCGACAACACCTAAGAGTGATCCTAGTTGTAATCCGGAGATAACTGGTCGGGTTGGTAGAACAATCTCATTTAAAATATCCAAAAAAGGAATGAATAAATTACTAAATGATTCTTTGGTGTTCATATTTTATAGAAATTCTTGAGAAATTGAAAGGAAACAAAATTATTCTTTCTTAAAGCATCTCCAGGGACTGCTAATAGTGTTCCCGTCATTTTTCATATTAAAATTAGACTTTAAAATCTTGAGAGAATCATTTGCGATTCTTAAAATAGACTGTGGAAAAATTCTTCAGATTTCAAAATTTTAAATAAGTTCTTCAAAGAACTTTCGGAATTTCTTCAGAAGTTACTAAAGTTTTATTTGAAAATGCTTAGCTATTTTTTCGGAAATTTCAGACATTTTTAAGATTACCTAACGATCGTAGAAATAAATTAAGGCTTCAATTACTTCGGTTTTAGGAATTTGTAGATAGCAAATATTTGTACCTCCACGCTTTCATCACACCTTTATATACCTAACTGACGTTCCTTCCTCTTTGCTGCCTTTATTCGCGTTTTCGTAATTAACTTTCTTCAAGCCTCATGGCACTTCTGCTTCATGCCTGATTCCTGACTCCTCCACACCTTCTTCTTTCATGTCTATTAATTTTCTTTGCGGTCCTTTAAGATATCTTTGATGCCATCTGTACACGTTTTTGATGCAGTTTACGCCTTGATCTTTTCAACTTTAGACTTCCATTTTGGATCTTCCTTACACTTCAGCTTCTTCACACACCATTCCCTCACCATACCTTCATACTTATTTCATGTTGCCTTCGCGGTACTTGCTCGCCTTCTTTACACTTTCTTTCGCCACATCTCCTTTTCTTTTACGTCTCTTCCTTTCATTGACGTTCCGTTTCTTTACATCTCTCTTTGCCATGCTCTTTTTAGGCGTCTGTTAATTTTTCAAAATGACGCGACTCCTTCTTTTGGCGTTATCCCTCGATCACGGCGACTTTATGTCTCCTCTTTTGATTTCTTTGTTTCTCGATTTTCTCTCACTTTTTTTACCAAGTCTGACTTAACTCTTAACTCTTTCTCGCTCTAGCATTCTACACGTCACCCTAGCAATACAGTTCTGTATAAAAAGCGTTTATTGTAAACTACGCCGCCGTCAGGTCCCATAACATTGTAGATCCCGTTCGTGGATCCATACTGCCACGATTTTTAAATATTATCAAGCGATAGTCATGAAAAACTATCTGACAGAAAGAAGTTGAGAGATCAGTGTATTGATCGAACAATTTCCACCGAGAAAATTGAGCAAGGAGAAATATTCTCAGACTTTATGTATAATGGAGCAGTTTACTGACAGTGACGGTTTAAATTGTAAAAGATAATTGAGTGTATTGTTCATTGCTAATAGCTTTATTTTCTTTAAATATATGCGGTGAGTATTTAGGTAGAACATTGGCTTGAAAGCACAGGAAATCCCTTCTAAAACGTAACTACACCATAATATGACACTTGACTGATGACAGGAACCCGATTTGGTAGATTGATAAAATTAGTACACAATTAACTAAATCATTTATAATTTACCCTATGACAGCAATATGTGTGGATAATGTTTGTGTTTCGCGCCATAAAGACCTTTATACATAATTACATTAAATAGAATGATTAATGGCTGTTTTCTTTTTAAAGCATTATTATTTCGTCTGATTTATTAAAGGGTACCTACCTATCTGTTTGAAGGAAACTCAAATTAATATTAGTTGGGTACATTCGTTGCATTATCCCTTACGTTGTATTAGGAAGAACCTTTCGGATATCAAACGATCAAGTGCCGAATAAGAAAGGTGAAATAAGTACCCATCAAAGAATGTTACATTCAACTCACCAATTACATTTCAAATTTGCAAATTGACCCCTACCTGCTAGGAAGATTTGCGGTTGGTCCGCAAAATTCTGCCTACAATGGTACCTAATGAAACTCTTGTTTTCTACTTCATAACGAAACCAGTCTTTGAAAACTGGTTGCAGGGGGGGGGGGCATGACACCGGGTACTAAAACTGCTAGATTTGTTCAAATGAATTTTGATGAAGCAACTGGTCCTTTTTCTCCACGAAAGTAAAAATAAAAGCATATTGTCACTTATATTTTGATTCATATCTGGAATTTGTTGTTTCCACACAATGCGTATCTTCAACATGCGTCAATTATATCATCTCTTTCTCTGTAACATGTGACGCAGTTCAGTTACAGCTGGACTGTGGTGCTAAGGGTCCCTAGTTCGAATCCGGGTTCGGGCATGGGTATTTGTGAATGTATAGTGGGTTGGGTTGGTAGAGCACCCTTGTCTGAAACCCCGCCCACTCAAAAATAAAGGCAAAATGAAATAAAAATAAAGTAAGTATGATTAGATATGGAATTTTCAATTTCACGTTACAACTATGTACACAACTTTAATCGAGATCAATTTTACATGATTCATTGTTTTCGTTTTGGGCTGATTTTTGCGCTAAGTTCCACGATTTGTACGTCAAAACTATATTTCAAAAGGTACCCCCCCCCCCCAGAAGGGGGTAGGGTCCTTACTTGCTTACTCGAAGTTCTGCAGTGTTTTTCTATGCGAAGGTATTTGTACGCAAACCAACGCGATAACTTAAAGTACAAAGGCAGCACAATAACAACACACGCGCTACCCAAATATGATGTAGATTATTAATATGCGAATAAAAAAAACTATTTTATTATCTTAAAGTAACAACAAATTGAAATAGGTATCAATATATCGAAAAAATTAATGCATGTACTGACAAGCAATAAATAGAATATTTTTCAAAACACTTCGGGCGACAAAATTTTGTATGAAGGTGGTTTTTAAAATAAAAAACCTCAAATGGTGTCTCAACGTATGGGCTGTCGTTACAATTTTTTTCCGGAAAATTGTACCCGAATAGACGCGTCGAAGTTACATCCTGCTTTGTCTGAAATGCTTACCAGCAAAAATTTGGCGTTCCTGAGTAAGTAAAAACAAAGAGTCCGAACCATTGCTTGTTTGGGAGATGCGTGGTAACCCGCCTTTTCTGATCTGGTCTTTAAACTCCAAAGAGTACAACGGGCGCACCAACGCACATAAATACCTATGGTAGGCCATTACGGCTAACTTTCATTTTGTGATGATCTGGTCCTTTCATTTTGTCGGGAATTATTAAGGGTTGCAAAATACTTTTTCTCACAAAAGTAACATAACGGCGTTTACCAAGACAACCATCGAAGATACTAAGTTGTATAAAGATGCAATTAATGAAACCATTTAGTTGGATGCAATTTCGGAATGCTGTATCAAGTAGGGTTTTAGCTTGTATGCCCCTCTTTCGTTATTGAGAGACACAATGATCTGTTTTATTATGATTTAAGAACATTTAAATAAGTATCTAGTTATAGCACTTTAAAACGAAGGATTTCCCACGTTATTAACATTATCAAAGGGACTATGTGGCAATTTTGGTGTGAGAAAATTTCTTACTAAGCATAGGATAATTTTGTCGCTAATGCGCAATCCAGAAGAACTCCCCCAAATACGGATTTTCGAGAAAATAGTTTACTCTTGACATAGACTTGTCTGTCACGAGACTGAGGTATGTGTCTTGGAGACCCTGAGCCGTACGCGGTCGATGCCTCCACAATTATACCTGGAGCCATTTTTCTTTTATGCCTTCCTTCCGGTAGCTGTTCTATTAAAGGTTTTGTTAACATACGCGCCCTTCGTTTGCTCTATTTAAGTAATTGTGTGAAAAATCAAGTAAATTCACTAACAAGATACCCTTTGTTTTTAACAGTAGCAACGCACACCCAAAAGTCGGAACTCAGCAATTGAAAATCTTCATTCTTAGTATGAAGATGTCATTTAAGACTAAAAGGCGAGCACAATTTGGTATGCCAAGGAAAACTTTCTTCTGAGTATCAAGTTATAACCCCCAAATTCCGCGTCTTCGTTAGTATTAACGCACAAAACGTTGTCCCACAAATCAGCAGAAAACTAGCTGAAATTAACATGTTATGGACGTTTCTATAGTTAGACATGGGGGAACAACAAGAAATGATGCAAATGATAGTAAAGTTTTATTTTATAAGATCTACGATAAGTAATAAACCTCTGTTATTACAATAGACTAGACGTAAAGACCAAACACTTTTTTACGGACGATCTCCAGAAGGAAAAATACCAACATGGTTTTGGGGGGATTTAGGTCGCAATCGATATTGTGAGTTAGATTTATCGGTATTAGGCTCCTCTGTCTATACTTACTGTTTGAACAACTTTGTTGGTTGCACGTTATCCCAGTGATCCCATAATACTATCAAAATTAGGTTTGTCCAACACTAAATTATGGTTTTTTAATTGTAAAGGGCATATTTCTTTTTCAATTTGTAACTTTATAGCTACTCAAAATCGAGTCTCGGGCATAAACGACATTCACAATTTGTTTAAAATGTTCAATCAAATGTTAATTTTTGTGGATGGTTTCAAAACTACGAGCTGCGTCAATGTTGTGAACCTTGCTGGGCAAACAGTTTCATTCAGTAGGAAAAATACGGTATATGACATGCATGAAGCTGTCGGGTGTAATCGTGTTCACACACCTTCACCTACAAGATGTATACATTTGTTTTGCACAAATTTGAATTATTCTCAACCTTGGCCATTAATGGGCTAATTCAAATACGCTACACAATCTCACGGATTAGGAAGGTAGATCTCGATTAAACAGTAACTTATTTATACTCTTAATCGTGCGTGATGCACATTTTTGTTATAATTTTGGTAAGCTAGAAACTCCCATACGCGCATATTGTTCTTACTCTTCTGACGATTTGTGAGCCGTGTGAGTATAACGTTACCTATACAGCACGAATTATATTATCTTTGCACATAAGTACACATTGGTATTTTTATTCCAGCAGCATACTGCCATATCTTGATTTAAATTTAATTTTTCTATAATATTGTTCTACTTCTAATTGTAAGTTATTTGAGAAGTTTTGGCGGTTGTGGAAGGGGGGGGGGGCGCAGTGTGTGAAGCGCTTCATAGTCATACAATAAAGTTTTACGCAAGTTCTTTTAATTTTTTAGTTATAGACGTCTTATCTTATATGTAAAGTTGCATAAATTGGAGAAACCTATAGAGCGAATTAAAACAGAACTCCTGCAGGAATCGACTTTTTTGGCATTTTGTGAATGATTATGTTTAAAAGCGTAATTCGTTCGCGGTGACATTTAAACATTTCACAAGTCTCTGGTCTATGATTCGGCCTTCGGGTTACCGTAAAAGTTCTTCGCATTTTCCAACATATTCTGCAAAAGGTTAAAGTATCTATCTCATTCTGTGTCATCATGACATACAGATAAATTAATAATTTCACAGTTAGAAGGTATTGTGAACTTACGAATTACACACCTCGATTTCGAGACTTGTAGGTTGTCGACTGATTGACACAAGGGAGGATACCAATATGTCGTTGGCTCCAAAAGAAATAAAACTTCGTTTTGACGAGAAATATATTATGTAAGATTTGGCAAGGACAATACTGACTTACCAAAAGTGGTGATATACTATTGTAGCAGGAATCCGCACTTGTGTTGGATCCTTAACGTTACATTAGTGAAGTGTGCTTCATAAAGTTGTGTCTTTTTTGCAGAAAAAAACACGTTAAATCAACAACACCGTATTTTAGGTGTTGTTGGTTAAATTCAAACTTTCACAAGATGCAGTAGCGTATGTGTTGTAACTGAAAGTCACCCAATTGTAGTCGCCAACAACAATAATTCGTTGACGGGTGATCCCAGGCCGCGATGCAATGCGTGTAATGTTGATCTCTCTGTGAAGCATGTAATCTGTGATTGTGTTAAGTATGTAAATCAGCGTGATAGGTTTAACCTAAAGGAAGATGTTAGAAGCAACCTTAACGAAATACCAAACTTGAAGAATGTGCTAAAGTTCCTGAAAGCAATAGGGATATACAGCAATGTATAAAAATATAAAGTTCTAAAATACTTACTTTTTACTTGGAAGGTATGTGTATGAATGTCGAGAAGACCCAAGTAGTCGAAGCCATACCTAAAAAAAAAAAAAAAAAAAAAACAATAATTCGTTATTTTGGTCTTTTTAATTGATTTTTCAATCTTTCATATTTTTCTTCAAGCTAATTTTTAATTTTAGAGAATCTAATCTCTGATAATATTATTAAATATTCATTACAACACATTATTGATTGAAAGTCCTACTGGAGTTTACCCGGGTTTCACGAGCTAGAAACGAAATGGGTCCTTACATTGTAATTAGTCCTGTTTTGGGTGTTATAATTGACCTGTTATTTATTTGTGTGAATTTCGCGTATGCCCATTTATAATTCTTCACAAATGAAAACTCTCTGGGAACCTCTGGGGTGACGACGAATTTTTTTGCACCACCCTCATATTCTTACCAACCTTAAAATCCGTTTTCTAGTTTGTACTATTTTACCCATAACTAGGGTTTTTTTTGGAACATACAGAAGTTTTTAAAAAAAGGTTTTGACACCACACGGCTCCTTCCCATTGGCACAAAACGGTTGGAAAGTGACAAAGGCAAGCGACATTTAAAATTTATCAGCCAATGATTTAAGATGCAAGAAATTTGAAATGGGAAAATAAATACTGCAGTCAGCCGTCGTTCAAATGTCACCGAAAGAGAAATTTATTTGGCAGATGAAAATCTACGGTGAGCTTTACGTTTCATATTAAATTTAACTTTTCATGTGCAAAATCCGTACAATTCCTTTTAAATGTTTGCTTTAATTTCTGTTGGATCGTTTATCACCCACATTAGCTTTCTCCGCCCATGAAATCATTACGTAAGTAACTCAAACACTGAATATGGTAAATCTATTGTAATCTATTGAGTTACAGTAGGGTAAGTATTTTATTTTTTGTGGGGATGTTATATTATACTGTTAAATTAAATGATTCGATACTGTTATTTCATTGTGGCACAATGTGTAATTAGTTTAGCGTCGAATCACCATTTAGCAGACATAAAAATGATTTGTTATGGCGACGCTGAGTTATCTGTTTAATATGTTATGCGTAATCTAGTATTTTATTAATTTACCATTTTCAACGCATTTTTAAGAAGCTGTAATTTCGTTACATCTTTGAGTGCGAGGGTAATGCATAGCTGTATTGACTTCTTCAGTTGGGAAGCAGGTGACAATATCACTTAAATAGCAATAGGCACCAAATATGTAGCACTGTTCACCTAATATAGCTTAGTGCCTCACGTTTTCATATTAGCTGCTTTGCCCGATTTTTTTAGCAGGATTTAGAAGAAATCTCCCACTTTAAGTGTGCCGCAAAATAAAAAGCCGCAACGACGGCGAATACTAGCTTTGTTAATAGCCGTGTGGGATTTATTCTTAAATCCGAATATTCAATTATACGCTTTTTAAATTGCAAACAAAGGGGAGGATAAAATTCTGAGCTTTTTTTTATCATACCAAACAGAACTTTATACGTTTTCGTTTAATCGTGCTGCGTCTAAGTAGGGCAATTATTACGATCAAAGGGATAGCGTGATTCATTATGTTGCGACATATCATGCCTAACTTTGTTTGTAAGTCTATTCCCCAGGGCATTTAGAGTAGAACCTTCAGTAGATATGAATTAGATGGAATTCTACAAGGAATCCCATCTCATCAAAAGAGAAAGAGTGGATTTTCTTATAGGGCAACATTTTAAACTTTTTCTTGCGTTTGAAGTTGGTGCCAAATTCTTCATATTAAAATTTTCAGTTTTGTGTCAACGACGGCGCACCTACACTGAATGATAGTTGCACAGTGTCAGGTCATTCAAACATTACATGTTCGTAACTGTACACTCATGTGCGGTTATTGTTGATTGAAATTCTACTCAAATTCGTAGATTTAGCTGTCGATTACAGTATCACGTGCTTCTAGCAATTATACCGTTTAAAATAGAATTAAGTTTGTAATAAATAAAAGTTAGAATAATTTACTGAATTACAGCTGCGGAAGCCTGTTTCTACACTCTCCATTCCTGGCGCAGTAAAAAACTCAAGCAGAGATTCGACAAGTGGTCGAGTACAGCCGGAAGAGTCGGGAGTTGCATTAGTGTCGCACACGGAGTATCCGCGATTCATGGAGGAAAGGCCGACCGGACCAGGTGTTTATAAAGGACCATCATCTGGTAGCCTAAAACATAAACCTAATGTAGGTTACCGGTTAGGACGGCGTAAAGCTTTGTTTGAAAAACGGAAAAGAATTAGTGACTACGCGCTCGTTATGGGTATGTTTGGAATTATAATTATGGTAATCGAAAACGAACTTTCAAGTGCTGGAGTCTATCGTAAAGTAAGAATTTGTGTGTGTAAAAGTGTAGTTACACAGTTTATCTCTTCGTATTTTGGATTTAACTCTTTTTATTTCTCAGGACGAATTTTACTCAATTGCGCTCAAAACATTGATATCTGTATCGACTGTGATTCTTCTAGGCCTCATAGTTGCCTACCACGCTTTAGAAGTACAGGTGAGTAACGTGTGGGTACGAAACTCCGCATAAACTTCCAGTTTGGGTGCAATCATTGAATAGCCATATAAGTTTATGCATCGTGGTCAGAATAATAGTCGCAACCCTGATAATCTTGTAATCCCTGATAATCTACGCAGGAGTACCAAATAAGCAAAGTCTAACAAGTTATTGTTGACAGGAATTCGTAAAATGCTCCCTAAATCAACGATTAATGTCACGAATTGGCATAAAAACACTTTACAAGTACACTGAATCCAACGCAATCATATGGTTTTGTTGCATCTTCGACACCGTATAATTTGAATGCAAGTGGAATGGCATTTTCCTTGAACTTCTTTTTTATAATAACATAACATGCACCTAATAGAGAATACTGGATTTAAAAAACTACAAAAACGAATGTAGTCGGACGACCTAGATTTTATGGTGCTGTAACCTGATGGAACCTGATACCTACCTACGCCCATAATTTATGTAAATGTTGAGATACCGTCTTGTTTTGAATACTTATATTTTTCTCCAAGATAGAAATCAGACTTAAGAAGCGGAAATTTGAAATTGATCTATTCAGGCTTCCCATAAATTGATACGTCAAAGTTATGCAGATGTAGAAAGTTTCTAAATGTCGCATTAAAACAATTTTCTTTGTTCTTCTGCTGTCAGACATACTTTGATTTGATATTGATCTCGTAATCTTCCTCATTAGGTACAGAAATTCAATCCGATTCTACTCGTACAATATCTAGGTTTAATCTCAGCAACTTTGAAATTCGCAAATAGAATGAAATCGTGCCTAACTTGGATGAAAATATAGACGCACATTTGGATCACACGCAATGTTGAAAATCGGCATCTCGTAAAACACTAACGTTCAGCTTAGGAGAAGCCATTAAGGCATTTTATATGCGGGATTCAAACACCCTTGCCACTATTGCCCAGTTATAGCAATTCACATCTAATCAACAAGAACATTTTCCTATACATTTCTTTATCATTCACGTCGTTTACGCCCTTCGTTTACAATCCTCTGAACCCTCCTATGAACGGTTTTGTTTCATTTCGTATTTGGATTACTCAATCTACAATTTCATACGAACTGTATTACGCATCCTTTTATTTTGGTAAATATTAATTCCAACCACAAAATCAATTACCTTTTTCGTTCACTCCTGTACTGGTTGAGTATTTCAGTTTTGAGATCAGAACTTTGTCACAATACAGGTTTTAAATATTTCGGCTCTGTAGATGAAATTTATGAGATGCTGCAACCCCAAACATACCTGTTTGTGAGATCAATGACAATGACTCCAAATTACTTCACTGTCAAGCAACTGTTAGTACCAGTATATGGAAACAACTTCAGAATTATAATAATATTGGAATTTCAGTTTCTGGCTAAAGAGGGAGATGGACAGAAAGTAATGACCCAACAGCCCTTCCTACTTTCAGCCGCGAAAGAATTTTAATGGGCCGAGATTCGATTAATAACGGCCCAAGATAGAGCTAAGGAAACTACTTTGAAAATTTATTGTTGACTGTCAACTAATGTGCTTGCTACGGAAGCTGGAGTGTCAAAAGTACAACCGACTCGATGAAGTTGTGATTTCAGAGTAGAAACTGCCGGGGAAAGAATGTGGTTGAAAGTATTATGTGAATTATTTCGAGCTGATTGTCATAGGATATAAAAAATTCGATACCCTCGCCCCAAATAAACCTAAACCGTTGACAGTGACGATATACAAGCTATTAAATTATTACCGCTCCAGTTTAAACCAAAACTAAAATAATAAATAATAACTGTGAAAGCACAGTAGCGCAAGCAAATATTTCGTTTAAGGAATATATTAAGAGGAAAAATATTGGGTTAACTGTGCTAGTGTAGATGATAATTCTTTCCTTCATTGCCCTTTGTATAGAATTTCTATCGAGTGACATTTTTCTGTTACTGATTACGTTGGTTTTAATTTGCACATAAAATTCATGAAAATAAGACAGTTATAGTGAAAACCCCCGGAAAGAATCTTTATTGAAACTAATGTTCGAGAGACGATCATTAAAAAGAAAATGCTAGAGAAACTTTTAGTTAAATGAACCTCTTCGATGCTGAAAGGACGATAAACGCTATTCTATTTTAATTGTTCGTTTGTTTCAGCTTTTTATGATAGATAATTGTGCAGATGATTGGCGAATAGCAATGACATGGCAGCGGATTGGCCAAATCTCAATGGAGCTTGCTATATGTGCTGTGCATCCAATTCCTGGAAACAATCAGTTCGTTTGGACAACAAAGTTGGCGAACAAGAATGGTGGAATTGGAAAGAAATGTGTTCCATACGATGTGCCCTTGTCTCTACCGATGTTTCTACGACTTTATTTAATATGCCGCGTGATGCTTCTCCACAGTAAACTGTTTACCGACGCGTCTTCTAGAAGCATCGGTGCGCTAAATCGGATAAATTTTAATACGAGATTTGTGCTTAAAACGCTTATGACAATTTGTCCTGGAACTGTTTTGTTAGTGTTTATGGTGTCACTTTGGATAATAGCTAGTTGGACTCTACGGCAATGTGAAAGGTTTGCAAGTAGTGAGGTCTCGAGTTTGAGTGTTAAGTTTTGTTTTGATAGGTTTCACGATGAGGAGCATGCAAATCTCTTAAACGCCATGTGGCTTATTGCTATAACGTTCCTTAGCGTCGGTTTTGGTGATATTGTGCCAAATACTTACTGCGGAAGAGGAATTGCAGTTAGTACAGGCATTATGGTAAAATATATTTTTGTGTTTCAGTTAAAATTACGAGAGACCTTTTTATCGATTTCAGGGTGCTGGATGTACGGCACTTTTAGTAGCTGTAGTTTCGCGTAAACTGGAATTAACAAGAGCTGAGAAACATGTGCATAATTTTATGATGGACACTCAGCTCACGAAGCGAGTAAGTAAATTTATTTGTAACTTTTCCTTTACTTATCTCTTATTCTGCATAGAATGTTGTTTTGCTATACTGGATGACAGCAAAACGGTTGCCTGTTATACAAATTTGAAGTTTCCGAACATTTTTCGTTATAGTACAGTTCTAATTTAATTTTTAGCTCAAAAACGCCGCCGCGAATGTTTTACGAGAAACATGGCTGATATACAAACATACAAGGCTAGTGAAAAGAGTAAATCCCGGTAGAGTACGCACTCATCAAAGGAAATTTCTTCTCGCAATTTATGCGTAATAAGATTTATTATCGCAGTCTATCCTCCTAAACTAAACCAACTTATTTTAGATTAAGAAAGGTAAAGATGGATCAGAGAAAATTAATGGATAACGCTAATACTATTACCGATATGGCCAAGGTAAGCAAACTTTTACTTTATAATAATTACGAAGATATTGCTTATTGCTATTTTTCACAAATGGATACCTACATTATTTGCGCGACCTCCTTACTTGGAGGCAAGACTGAAAGGAAACAAGACGTGTGACTTGCCATATCTTTTCTGCCGAAAGCAACATCAGGTTGTGGGAAATTAGGAACCTAAGTTGTATCTTGCTCCAGTGTTCCACAACATTGAAATGTCTGTATTAATTGTCTAGCTTGATAGACGGAACAATCAATTGCAATGGCTGTTTGCGTACAATTCGGCCATTAAGGTATTTTTGAAAGACAAAAATTTCAGTAAAAGCATTACAACATAAATTTGCCTAAATAAAATGTACAAAATAGAATTTTCTATAAGTAAACCAAGACTTCATGAATGTATACACTTTAAGCTTCGTTCACTACAATTTCCAAAACGCAGGAATTCAGGAAATATTTACAACGTGATGTTCGCCAGGAAAACGAGAACCGTCGTGGTTGTTATAAAGTAGTTTAGTTTTTGTATTTTTTTACAGACCCAAAATACAGTGTACGAAATTGTCTCGGATATGAGTACAAGACAGGATACGTTAGAAGATCGCCTAGCGACTGTAGAAGATAAATTGGTGACACTACAAGAGCAGCTAGATCTACTTCCCGATCTAATTGCTACACGCATTCAGGCGCAGGAAAGTATAATAACCACACTCCGGCCCTTCTTTTATACATAAAAAAATAACGATCGTCTTTTTAATATGTATCAGGCGGAGAAAATGGAACAAAGGAGGAATTTTTTGCATCCAGAGTCAGCGGTCGGCCTCCAACAAGCCAGAAGCGTTCCGCCTGCATGTCCATGGCCTGGGCCTACATTGCCACCCTTAGGCAAGTCTCCGACCACGTCTACATCACAAAGCTGATTGCCCTATTATGGCGACTTTACTACCCAGTTGTTAATTAGGTATCAACTTTTATTGTGTATCGTAAATAATTAAATTGTTAATTTTTTTTAATAAAAAGGCGTAACGATATCTATCGCACACAGAAGTTAACTTTGAACAAAGGTGTAGGTATCTAAGATACTATTATGTATAATACACAATAAAAGTAGGAGTTTTTAGAGCCTTGACTATGTGCAGTATTAGTTTTTAATTAAGATAAGTACTTTTACAGATCACAAAGCTAGTTTTAGGTACTAATAAGTTATTTAATCCAGAATCATCGACACTGTAAATGCCATAATCATACAAAGTAAGCCTTTCTAATTTCAAGACTGATTTGTTTTAAAAAATAATAACACAACAAATCGTTAAGAACTAGGATTGATAATACTTAATTAGGTAAGTCACTTTTAGTAAGTAAAACCGAAACATATTGGTACCCGGTGGTTTTGCCGCGTATTTATTGTGTATGATTATGGTATTCGGCACAAAATAAATCGTCATTTAGTTACAATCAACAATTACTAGCACGCATGTGTTGTGGATCATATTAAGTAGATTTATTTAGTAGGTACTGATAAAATAGTGTAGATAGATAAAAAGGATTGCTCTTTATTATAGTGAGTAAATGACCTACCTTGTGATTATTACATTTAAAAAGTTAATTAGATTAGTTAATTTAGTATTACTTGGCATCTATAACTTATTTTGTACCTGCATCGAGATATTAAACACAACGGCTAATTAAACGTTTATACACGTGTTATTCCTTTAATTCAACAAAGGGTACATATTAAGCGAAGGGCACAAAAGTGACATCGAAGTAAATGGCAACTAATGTTATAGATGAATGTAGGTGCCATACGTTTTCTAATTGTGCGCATTTTTTTAATTATTATTAGAAGTTTTAGATCCCAAGTACCTACAGTGATATTTGGTTCATAATTAATGGTAAGCTTATTCTTACAAGGATATTTATGTTAAAACAATGCATAAGTTAATGCGCAGTACTTCCACAAATTTACAACAATATAAGTTTCCTTGTAATAATACCTTTAAAAATATAAAAAGAGGAAAATATAGTGGAAATACCGGTGTGATAGTGTAATGGTGCACCTTAAGCATTATATATTCAGAGGTCCAAATTGTTAAACTGTTAGTGTTTTCTGCAATTTCACAAGTTTTATAAGCATATATTATAATATGAATTCATATATACCGTATATTTATGAAACTATACCTACGTACTTAGCCAGTTTATATTAATTAGCATTAAAATATTTTCAAATGCATTACTATGTTACCCTACTCATGTTACCAACGAATAAACTACTAGTTTCTTATTGTGCCTGTTATTCTTAAGTAACTTTATAAACTTGTCTCAAAGAAACGAAAAATAATTAGGAATAGTTTTATTTTTTTTTGCAGTTCACTATTTCTCTAATGGTTTCTGTGGGTTTAACAGGGGCCACCGAAATTGTGCTGAAGTTGAGAGTACACAAGCTGAAGACAACAATCATTAATTTTATATAAATTTTTAACCTTTTTATCCCAAAAAACTAAATTTCTTTGATGTTTCTGGTTTTTCGAATTTTTGTCAATGCTTTTCAGGACTTTCCCAAATGAGTCTAGGACCACAACGTGGATTTAGCAAGCACAGAAGTACAAAGTAAGAGACGATTTCTAATAAATTTTGACCAGTAGAATCCAAAAAATATAATATGGGAAACCCATTTCTGCAGCCCTACTTCAATTGTTTACTCGTCAGAACGTTCCAGTGAAGCTGCATCGGGGGATCGAAATTGATGACATAGAAGTTAAATATATATGCTATTATAGTGGAAGCTGAAATCCGAAAAACGATAGATTTGGTTGTTCATTTTTCGACATCGACGTAATTTGCGAAACGCTGCAGTGGTTTGCATTCACATTAAAATGCAGCATGTGTAATGTAACTGAGGCTGTATGTACGGAGAGCATAAATGACGAAAGAATTACTATAAATTGATCGGTCGTTTCTGGTAAAATGGCCGTAAGTGGAGGTCTTTCCCAATTGAAGGAATTAGCAGCCGCACTTGACATTCTTGCACCATCTTATGTACTTACGCGGTGTATCACAATGAAGTTTGTGATATTTATATTCGTGCAGTTGATGCAACGAAGGAGGCTGCCGAAGAGGAGGAAAAGTTCATTAGAAGTTGGTGACGTGAAGGACATCCTACTGTTGCAGTAGTCGTACCGCATAAAATGTGTCATTATCAGGCGTTGCTTGTGTTGTTAGATTACGAACAGGAAAGGAATTGTATGAGGCTCTGAAGAATACATTTTGTTTGATATGTGCTAAGGAAAATCTTTATAAGTACGGCAAATGCCCGAAACGTACTTGTTATAAAAACGGGACTGGACAATCCACAGAAATGGAAGCCGTGATTATCGTTGAGGGAGTTCAAACATCTATCGATTAACAGGCCACATTCTATAAGAAAAAATTTTTTCCGGATCGATCCGAGACAATTTTTTTTTCGGGGCTCAAAAAAAGGCAGTGTATAACCTTCCTTTTTTACCAGAAATCGACTAAATCATTGACTCTCGGGAAAACACTTTTTCTTATTAATTTGGGTGCGTAGAATCCAAATCAATTCGTACTTTTTCGATCAGACTTCTCAATCAAAAGTTATAGACTAGAAACCAATTTCGAAAGAACATTCAAAGGGCTGTAACTTTTGAACTAGTAGCCCAATCTTGGAACTGTTTGAAATTATGGATTCTACAGGCCACATTCTATAAGAAAATTTTTTTTCCGGGTCGATCTGAGACAATTTTTTTCGGGGCTCAAAAAAAGGCAGTGTATAACCTTCCTTTTTTACCAAAAATCGACTACACCAAAATTTCTCGGGAAAACACTTTTTCTTATTAATTTTGGTGCGTAGAATCCAAAACAATTCGTACTTTTTCGATCAGACTTCTCAATCAAAAGTTATAGACTAGAAACCAATTTCGAAAAAAATTCAAAGGGCTGTAACTTTTGAACTAGTAGCCCAATCTTGGAACTGTTTGAAATTATAGATTCTACAGGCCGATATGCGTGGAATAAAGTATACACAATTGGTTGAAGAAGTGATTGAATGTATGTTATATGGGCCCGTCTACAGTGATTCAAAAGATTGAATGCAAAATTATATAAACAAATTAGAAGAATGTTGAAAAAAACGAAAGTTGACCAAAGATTAAAAAACGCTATTTCAAACTATTCGTTTCCGTACGGCTGTGACAAGCAGTAAAATTAGAGAATGAGAATGTGACATTTTGAATTGACCTAAGCATATATTCGAAGAGCATAACCGATGCAATAAACACGAATATTTTTGTACAGGTCCCAAAGGAAGAGAAATAAATACCCATTGTTGACGATTTACAGAAGTCAGGCCTATATCATTAAAAAGTTTGGTGTACGATGTTACTAACAATGTAACGAGTTATATAATTCATACGTACAGTTTCCACTTAGATGTAGAAGAACTAAAAGTTCGTACAGATTCTTTCAGAACAGATCAAATTTTGGAAGGAACTGTTGGACAGCACCGGAGCAATGTGTAGTCAATCCAACTTTGTGAGAATTTGTAGCTGGCGTGAAACGTCTTGCGTTAAAATAGTCAAACATTTGCTTTATAGTCAATTACCAGGAAGCACCGCGACAGGATACGCAAAGGAACGTGAAGATAGGGTGATTGAAATTTTTGAAAAAGAGATTAACATTAAAATGCAAGCATGTGAACCTTTATAGATGAAGTTTACTTCTTTCTATGTGCATTCCATGAAGGAATAGTTAAAGAAAATGTGTTAACAGAGATAGTGTCTATACTCTGTCAGGATGCATAAACCCGTACAAGAAGTATTGAATAAAAAGATAGCATTTTGTCATGCGATGGACGACAAATTAAAACTAAAGACAACAGACATTTTTTTGTACCAAATGCAGGGACAACTAAATATTACGAAAAAGGAAGGATGTTATTCTGTAGTACTGAATGCCAGTGGAAGTAATATGCAAGAACGTTTCATTTTGGGAAAGGAATATGCTTCCAAAGGTCAAGAAATTTTATATGACGGCTTTACTACCGGAAATAATTGCACCACGCCTCGCCCAACGCCAATCAAGCCAGTTGCCAATGAGAAAAGTGTTTTTCTAATCTCCTTAGATATCAATAAAGACATTAAGTACGGAAAATCAAAATAGGCAGGTGTTCAAAATGGAAAACGACATATACGAATGTATAAGTACTACCTTTACATCGTACTCAATACTCATACAAGCATATTTAATTACTATATTTGTTATAGCTTCTGTTCTGTACTAATTATACTTTTTGTTTTTACTTATCATGATTGTTACTATTTCAATAAAATCTTGTTTATCCACATTTAGGGCCGTCTTATTACTTACCTACCAAATTTATAGTCTGTAATAAAAAGGGAAATTATAATGTATAACACAAATATTATGTTTACCCATTTACTGAATAGAATAGAATGCTTCTATTGATAAAAACAGAACGCCCTTAACATTTCAATAAACTGCACAAATCACAATTCGGGAATACATCAATAATTTTGGATTTGGTTTAGAATGTTGAATCACAAAAAGTGATTTTGAGTAAATCTACATTAGATAGAATTGGTAATCAAAACACGCCCATTTGCCTTTCACAAAGTGCAAATTATTAAATAATTGAACACCATTAGCTAAAAACACAATCAATAGAGACAGCTAATTAACATCGACTTCTGGCGAACGATGTGTTGCCTAACGTATTCATTTGTATTGTCCATACTGTCGATATTGAGCGTTTTCCAAAATTTTGTTATTTGTATTTGTTATTTGAAAACCCAGAATTACTTTTCAAAAATACGAAATTATAGCCTTATAAAGATAGAGATCCTTTCTCCAACACCATTTAAGCGCGCATGTGATATAGTTTTCTTCTACTATTTTCTTTTTCTCTTTTCCTTTCGCATTGCTCTTTTCTCTGCAGAATTGTCTTATATGTCGATCTTATTTCCGCCCAATTTCTTTCGGATGTCATCATTATTTCATATACACTTTCCATTTAAGGCCATTCTTTAATTTTATTAAAGAGAATCAACCGTTCGCCGCACATTCGGGACATCTAAACAGAGTGTGCTCAGGAGTGTCCTCTTTGCAATTGCAATACCAGCACCGGGGTTTTCGTTACTTTCCTATCCTGTATCCTGTATAGTAATTAGGAAAACCGACCGTGTTTGGCAATACCTGTGAGAGGTAGAAGTGTATTCTCTTGCGATTCCTTTTGTAACCATTCTTTGATCTCGTGAGTCAAACGCCAGATTTTCATTGTTCTCATTTCTCAACTAAGAGAAACCGATGGATTCTTCCAGCCATCACGTGTCACCGGGAAGGTCCTATAAGGACGAAGTGACTATCTAAACCGATCTTATAATGTTATAAAAAGGGGTAAGGAGAATTAGTAATCCTTGGGATCTATTTCACTAAACCGACCGAAAAATACTTAACACTTTATGTTACTTAACGAGAGTTGAAACGATAACTAACTAAAACTATCCTAAACAGAAGAGCAGAAAGCTTTTTGGGGAATAAGTATTTACCTCTTTCGATACTTCATTTTCATATAATAGTTCCTCAATACTTTCTTCCACTAAAAACTTGCCAACCTCTGCCAATCAATATAACAAACAAATGTTGGTTGATTTGTTGCTTATTAGTCCTTTATGTTACGAAATCAAGTTCAGCGTTACAGTAGAAACCTTTTCAAAAGAATTTGCTGATAAGGAATGTGCTAAAAGTTTTATATATCGTACTATTACCATCTCTGTGGTCTCATTACTTGTTTGTTTACCTAATTATCTTAAAAATCTATAATCTCGTTACAATACTCCTCGTTGTACTGCCAGGAGTGTTTTCCTGTACGAAGCCTTCGACCTTACTGCAGCGCAGAAAACTACTGAAACTTTTCAGAACTTGATTCGGCAATAAATGACCCTCAATTTTCGATGCATCGACTAGAGAGATTTGCTCACACAAATACTCGACCGCGTCCCATTAAGATAGTCCTAGAAAAGGAGCAATTTGTCCGGAACTATGTCCTTAAGAAAAGTCAATTAACAAGCAAGCCACTTAATAAACATACAGGGTGTTTTTTTAAGACCATGGGCCATACGACAATGTAAAGGCGTTGAGTTATTTAAAATGGGCCATAGGGAATTTACATTGCATCAATTGCTTCAGTCATAGCTTCCTCGTGAATCATCTGCCACAGTAC